CAGATTATCCACCCTTTCTGGAGTCCTTGGAGGGGGTACTGGAAAGTGCACCTCCTGGGAACTCCCTTGTTCTGCTGGGGGACTTCAATGCTCATGTGGGCAATGACAGTGAGACCTGGAGGGGTGTGGTTGGGAGGAACGGCCCCCCTGATCTGAACCAGAGTGGTGTTCTGTTGTTGGACTTCTGTGCTCGTCATGGATTGTCAATAACGAACACCTTGTTCAAGCATAACGATGTCCATATGTGCTCTTGGCACCAGGACACCCTAGGCCGTAGTTCGATGATCGACTTTGTCATCGCCTCATCTGATCTGCGGCCACATGTCTTGGACACTCGTGTGAAGAGAGGGGCGGAGCTGTCAACTGATCACTACCTGGTGGTGAGTTGGCTCCGATGGTGGGGGAGGATGCCGGTCAGACGTGGCAGACCCAAACATATTGTGAGTGTTTGCTGGGAACGTCTGACAGAGTCTCCTGTGAGACGGAGTTTCAACTCCCAACTCCGGGAGAACTTTGAACATGTTCCGAGGGAGGTGGGGGACGTTGAGTCTGAGTAGACCATGTTTTGTGCCTCTATTGTCGAGGCGGCTTACCAGAGCTGCGGCCGCAAGGTTGTCGGTGCCTGTTGCGGCGGCAACCCTCGAACCCGATGGTGGACACCGTCGGTGAAGGATGCTGTCAGGCTGAAGAAGGAGTCCTATCGGGCCTTTTTGGCCTGTGGGACCCCGGAAGCAGCTGATGGGTACCGACAGTCCAAGCGACATGCGGCTCGGGTGGTTGCTGAGGCAAAAACTCGGGCATGGGAGGAGTTCGGAGAAGCCATGGAGAACGACTTCCGCACGGCTTCGAGGCGATTCTGGTCCACCATCCGGCATCTCGGGGGGGGGAAGCGGTACGCCACCAACACTGTTTATAGTGGGAGTGGTGTGCTGCTGACCTCAACTCGGGATGTTGTGGGTCGGTGGGCGGAATACTTTGAAGACCTCCTCAATCCCACCGGCACATCTTCCACTGAGGAAGCGGATCCTGGGGACTCTGGGTCGGGCCCTCCAATCTCTGGTGCTGAGGTCACCGAGGTGGTTAAAAAGCTCCTCGGTGGCAGGGCCCCAGGGGTGGATGAGATTCGCCCAGAGTTCCTTAAGGCTCTGGATGTTGTAGGGTTGTGTTGGCTTACGCGACTCTGCAATATTGCGTGGACATCGGGGGAAGTTCCCCTGGATTGGCAGACCGGGGTGGTGGTCCCCCTATTCAAAAAGGGGGACCGTAGAGTGTGTTCCAACTACAGGGGAATCACGCTCTTAAGCCTCCCTGGTAAGGTCTATTTGGGGGTTCTGGAGAGGAGGGTCCGTCGGATAGTCGAACCTCGGATTCAGGAGGAGCAGTGCGGTTTTGGTCCTGGCCGTGGAACACTGGACCAGCTCTACACTCTCAGCAGGGTCATGGAGGGTGTGTGGGAGTTTGCCCAACCAGTCTACATGTGCTTTGTGGACTTGGAGAAGGCGTTCGACCGCGTCCCTCGGGGGACCCTGTGGGGGGTACTCTGGGAGTATGGGGTACCGGGCCCTTTGATATGGGCTGTTAGGTCCCTGTATGACTGGTGTCAGAGCCTGGTCTGCATCGTCGGCAGTAAGTCGGGCTTGTTCCCAGTGAGAGTTGGACTCCGCCAAGGTTGCCCTTTGTCACCGATTCTGTTCATAACTTTTATGGACAGAATTTCTAGGCGCAGCCAAGGTGTTGATGGGATCCGTTTTGGTGGTCTTAGGATTGCGTCTCTGCTTTTTGCAGATGATGTTGTCTTATTGGCTTCATCAGATCGTGATCTACAGCTTTCGCTGGAGCGGTTCGCAGCCGAATGCGACGCGGCCGGGATGAAGATCAGTTCATCCAAATCTAAGGCCATGGTCTTGAGTCGGAAAAGGGTAGAGTGCCCTCTCTGGGTCCGGGAGGAGGTCCTACCCCAAGTGGAGGAGTTCAAGTATCTTGGGGTCTTGTTCACGAATGAGGGAAAAATGGAGCGTGAGATCGATAGGCGGATAGGTGCAGCGTCTGCAGTGAAGCAGGCGCTGTACAGGTCTGTTATGGTGAAGAGAGAGCTGAGTCAAAAGGCGAAGCTCTCAATTTACCGATCAATCTACGTTCCCACCTTCATCTATGGTCACGAGCTTTGGGTTGTGACCGAAAGATTGAGATCTCGGATACAAGCGGCCGAAATGAGTTTTCTCCGCAGGGTGTCTGGGCTCTCCCTTAGAGACAGGGTGAGAAGCTCGATCATCCGGGAGGGACTTAGAGTAGAGCCGCTGCTTCTCCACGTCGAGAGGAGCCAGTTGAGGTGGCTTGGGCATCTGTTTAGGATGCCTTCTGGACGCCTCCCTGGTGAGGTGTTCCGGACACGTCCCACCGGAAGGAGGCCCAGAGGAAGACCCAGGACACACTGGAGAAACAATGTTTCTCGGCTGGCCTGGGAACGCCTCGGGAGTCCCCCGGAAGAGCTGGCCCAAGTGGCTGGGGAGAGGGAAGTCTGGGCCTCCCTACTTAGGCTGCTACCCCCACGACCCGACCCCGGATAAGCGGAAGAAAATGGATGGATATACATATATATACATACATACATACATATATACACACACACATATATATATATATATATATATACATATATTTAAATGATCTCAACAGAACAAATGACAGCAGATGCTGGTTGTGCAAGCACACACAAACAGGATGGACTTCAAAATAAAAGCACCAAGTAGTTTCTGTACTTACAGTCCAGAATTTGATGAAATACTGGATGACAGTTGCACAAATCACAACACAGTAGAGTACGGCGTAGGATAAAAACAGAACAAAAAACTTGTAGTTGGAGAATCCAACACAGTTATTCACCCTGGAAGAAACAAAATTAGAAACAAGAATAAAAATGTTACACTTTCTTCTAAAGAGAATCAATCAAACTATTACAAATAAATATTAATCAAATTAAAGTTAATTAAATTCATTTGAACAGCAGCATAAATGTAAATTTAAATAGAATAGTCCTACCAGGGGCAGTGATGGTCCATTTTCAACACGCACCTTTATGATAAATAAAAAGTATGAAAAAAAAAAAGAAAAACACAAATCTGGTCAGCAATTTATTTTACATCATCAACTTTCTAGTGTTGTTAAATGTAAACAGTACAAGTAACAAAACACACACAACTTTAAAGGATATCCAACTAGTTAGAACAATAGACCTTTGATTAAAAAAATACTTCAACTCTAACGAGACCATTAAAACAATGTCAGCTGTTGAGTTTTATAACTTTTTACATATTATTGACAGATGCATGTCACCATTTTATTTATGCTGCAATGCATTTTGGGTAAATGATGTAGACAGGTTGTTCCTGTGCAAGCTCCATTCAGCTTGAATGTTTATTTTGGACATTATCTGATGTTCAGCTAATTTGGACTGGAGTGCGTTGACAAAGAAGAAAACAGAGAAATGATTCTGCTTTCACGTTAGCTCCAGAGCTAATATATATTACATTAGCTCAAGAGCTTATAGCATTAGCACCAGAGCTAATGCATATATCATCAGCCCCTGAGCTAATATATATGATGTTAGCTCCAGAGCTAATATTGTAAACTCTAGAGCTAAATACATATATATGGTGTTGGCTTCAGACATAATAGCTTTAGCTCCAAAGCTAAATATAAAGCATTAGCTCCAGACCAGAGGAAATGGTGGTATAGTTAGTAGAACTGCCACCTCTCAGCTAGCAGGTCGCCCTGGTTCAAAACCCGGCTGCGGGTCTTTCTAGGTGGAATTTGCACATTTTCTCCGTGCATGCGTGGATTTTCTCCGAGTACTCCAGTTTCCTCCCACTGACCAAAAACATGCATGTTAGTCTGATTGGTAATCCTAAATTGTCTCTAGGTGTGAGTGAGAGAGTGAATGGCTGTTTGTCTCGTTTGTCTCTACATGTCCCTGTGATGGACTGGAGACCTGTCCAGGGTGTCCCCCGTCCCTCGCACAGTGATAGCTAGACATGGGCACCAGTGACCCCCGTGAGAAGAGGCAGGTAAAGAGGATGGATGGATGGATGGATGGATGGATGTATGGATGGATGGATGGATGTATGGATGGATGGATGTATGGATCTATGTATGGATGGATGGATGGATCGATCGATCCATCCATCCAGACCTAATAATGTTATGGCATTAGCTTAAGACCTAATAGCATCAGCTCCAGAGCTAAATATACAGGTCCTTCTAAAAAAAATAGCATATTGTGATAAAGGTCATTATTTTCCAAAATGTAATGATAAAAATGAAACTTTCATATATTTCAGATTCATTGCACACCAACTGAAATATTTCAGGTCTTTAATTGTTTTAATACTGATGATTATGGCATACAGCTCATGAAAACCCAAAATGCCTGTCCCAAAAGATTAGCATATCATGAAAAGGTTCTATAAACAAGCTATTAACCTAACCATCTGAATCAACAACATAACTCTAAACACCTGCAAAAGATTCCTAAGGCTTTTAAAAACTCCCAGCCTTGTTCATTACTCAAAACCGCAATCATGGGTATGACTGCCAACCTGACTGCTGTCCAGAAGGCCATCAATGACACCATCAAGCAAGAGGGTAAGACACAGAAAGAAATTGCTGAATGAATAGGCTGTTCCCAGAGTGCTGTATCAAGGCACCTCAGTGGGAAGTCTGTGGGAAGGGAAAAGTGTGGCAGAAAACGCTGCACAACGAGAAGAGGTGACTGGACCCTTAGGAGGATTGTGGAGAAGGGCCGATTCCAGACCTTGGGGGACCTGCGGAAGCAGTGGACTGAGTCTGGAGTAGAAACATCCAGAGCCACCGTGCACAGGCGTGTGCAGGAAATGGGCTACAGGTCCCACATTCCCCAGGTCAAGCCACTTTTGAACCAGTGTAGTGAGACAGGTCGGTTAGCTTCGTTAGCTTCGGAGCTCCACTACATTTTATAATATCTGGACTAGTTCAAGTACCTGATATTATACTTAATTTAAACGGGTTCTCTCTTTTTCGAGCTACTTGACAGATATGTGACAGAGATAGTGACGTGAGACGTTAATTTTCTTTGACCCATCAAAAATGAATGCGGTCATTTATTAACAGAATCAAAGTTTAACATCAAACATTGTACACGTGATTATTCTGATTGTACGCAATAACATAGCTTAACTAATTACAACAGACATTTATGAAAATATCTGGATGATTTACTGGCAAGATAGAAGAGTTTTAAAGATGGGAAATGAGGGAGTTTATCTGGAGAGAAAAGATGTGTGAGGGAAAATGTGTCGGTATAAGAACGGCACTCTCCATTTGAACCCAGTTTCACCTCGGTACGCTTCAGTAGGAAATCGACTCGTTACCTCTCTGAAGATGAATCAGCTGGTACGGAGTTCCATTTAACGCTACCATTTCCAGCGTCTCCGTAGGATGGTTGGGAAACGTCCGGAGTAGTGACGGTTCTTCGTTCAACACACGTTCACCTCACGGGTGGACTCACATGAGGAGTAAGTCCGTCAGAGGTTCCACTCAAATGTGGAAGATTCCATAATTCCCACGAGACTCGGAAGAACTTCGGATCATGTCTGGAACTTCCTGTTCTCTCCAGCAACTTTTCTGTTTGGTTCTGCCCTCCGAACTGAACTGCTCTCCCACCGCACTGGTTGGAACTAGGAAGTGTCGACATTTAAAGAGTTCTGTTTCCGGTTCATTTGGGAAGTCCTGATTGGTCGCAACGAACCAACAGGGTGTGGTCTTAGTGATGTAAGAGGTTATTAAAAGTCAAGGAAAAAGATTAAGTTGTTTAAGAACAGACAGAAAGATGTTTTGAAGAAACAGAGACTTTTAGGTGCCAGTTCTACTTCTATCTGTCTGAAAAAGTTAAACATGACATTTCTTTCCAGTAAACATGTAGTTGACCGAAACTTGACTTTTGACCGACTTACAACCTGCTCATTTCAGACAGAAGATCAAGAAAATGAATAATTACTCTGTAACAGACATTAACTAGATTTCTACTTTGAATGAGGATTAAAAATCATTTATACTGTTTCACAGTTGATTTAAAATGAGTAGTTCACTTCAACATTTAAAATGGTTTGAACTAAACGCACTTTTGATTATCAAGACATTTGTAAAATAGTAATGATAATAAAAAAGAGAGTGTTCTTTCAATTGATCAGTGCAGGACACACTTAGAAAGTCTTTGGATGAACTTAATTTTGTGTTTCTGGACTCAAATCAATGAGATAACAGTTCTTGTCCCAGGAAGGCCCTCAGGGCCAGATTTGACCTGAGGCTTAGTTCACTACAGTCCCCCCTTTGGAAATCATCGCCTGTCCATGGGGATGAATTCCAACATGAACTTACGCCTTCGAATGTCCTTGAGCTTGATGTAATCCAGCAAGAAAAACAAAAGTCAAAGAATGTAATCCCACAATGTTTTTGGTAATTCCATTGTGTTGATGGTAATTCCATAATGTTGTTGGTAATTCCATTGTAGCAATGCTTTAACCCCTTGGAAACAGAGTCTGTAATCCATTGGAAAAAGTCATATAATCCACAACGGTAAATCCACAACGAATGGAGGTGTTGATTGATTAGCATACAGAGGGGTTCCCTTGGATTGAACTGAAAATGCGGCCACTGGATGAAGAGTGGAGACCAACGTCAGGATTGCAGGTCTCCTCCAGCGAAGGTCTTCTCTGGGCGACGTCCAGTTGGTGCCGTTCTGGCTCAATGTGTCATGCAATTATGTGGTTTAAGGTGGGCTTATGAAGGGATTTTACATAAGGCATTAACCTATATGCACCTGGTGTGTAAGCTATTATGATTGGGAACAGCTACAGCTACCAGTTAAGGGGTGGAACATGCTGAAAAGGGTAACTATAGGGATTTATACCTATAGAAGGGCATTCCAAACTATTTTTCCATTCCTAACTTGGTTTAAGTTAGCTTTACATGGCAAAATATAGTTTGGTTCAATTGTCTGTTGTCCTTTTAGACGAACGACTTGAGATTGGGTGTTTGGTTTCCCCATAAATGTTTTTGGAGTCTATGGCGAGACTCATCAAAAAGAATTAGCTATCCCCCCGAATAGAATTGTTCGAGTAGGTTCGGCTTAAGCGTTGTGAGACCAATGTAGATTATGGTACTTAAGGTAGCATTAATCTACATTGACTCCGCAAAGATTAGATTTTAACAAATGAACTGCATGTTGGCATAGTTAAAGGCCTCTTAGTCTCTAATTCAACTACACAAAAAATTCATTCTTACTTGGGGTGTTCAGAAACAATACCAAAAACCAATTAACCGATGTCTCAACATCGACAAAAACAGTGACTAAGCAACCAGTAAAACAGTTTCAACATTGACAAAAGTAGTGATTAAGCAACTAGAAAACGACGTTTCGGTGCGCCACTCACTCTGAATGTCAGATTTGATCACGTTATCGTGTCTGGTAACATTACCCTAACTGGCGTCACCCCCCTTCGGTCATGGGAGACCGCGAACACGGGTGAGGACGTCGCTCCATGAGCTAAAGTTAGGTTGTCCTTGAGTAGTTTTAACTGTTTGCGCAGCTGAAAGAGGACTTTAAGGTCTGGATTGGAATCCAGTTCGCCTTTCGATGGAGTGTATTTGTCTGGGTCAGTCAGATACAGTATCATCGAGTTAATTGCAGGATCCAACTTCTGAAGTTGGATGATGTCTGGGTCAGTTGAAAATGACTTTTCATATTTTAAAAGAACTTGGCGTAGTTTGTCTCTTTCTTCATCAGATGTCAGAGTGTCGGCTTGGGCGACCGCCTGATCTATCTGTGATGAGACTGATAAGGGTTCTTGCTCCTTGGGGAGCTCCAACGAATCCCTTTCTGAGTCGTCGGACCTGTCTATGGGTAAGACACCATAGGTTTGAGGCCCTTGGTCGACATCATCGGTTGAGAAAAGAGCTATGGCCTGTGTTGGTTTTGTGAACCATACTGGCCCAGCTTCTTGACTCGGTACCAGGTTATCTGGGAGTCCTCCCAGAAA